GTTGATGTGCTCATGATAATAATATGAATGGGAGCTAGAAGAACAAAGCAAGCGATGCCTGTGAAAACTAAGCTATCATTAGAGATAAACAAGAGATCAAACGAGGAGAACCAACAATAATAATATACCAGGGATTAACACAATAAACGCATTAGACAGATATAGAAGTGCACGTTATATGTGTCACGGCGCTATGGCATCAGGCGCTCGGCTTTGGTTGGGGGGGGGGGCACATGGAGGTATTGGTTTGCCTTGGTTTTGATGAAAAAGTACCCTTTTTTTTTTATAGGAGTCGAGATATTTGCAGTTGAAGGAGGTGGGGGGTCGCCTGGTGTCAAAAGTGAAATTACCGAAGTGTGGTGACTCACAAAGCGTTATTATCCTTGAAACCTGCAAATTTACAATTGTTGTGCGTAGATCGCCTTTTTTTCAATAAAATTCAAACAGAAATGTGATTTTGAATGACCGTAGAGGGTGTTGACCCCACCCCACCAAAACGGGGGGAAATTGCCCAACGGTAGCCTAGTGGTTGGCTCTCAAACTTGCAGCCGTAAGGTCGTGGGTTTGAATCCCATCAGGGGCCCGACGTTGTGTCCTTGGGAAAGGCACTTTACCCAAATTTTCCTCACTTCACCCAGGTGAGAATGGGTACCCAGCTATAGACAGTGAAAGACATCGGTTTGTTAATGTTTGAGTGCTTAATCAGCTGCTTGTACTGTATGCTTCCCGGGAAGCTGAGAATGTTTCTGGGTGCTTTATGGTCTGCTGGGGTAATAGTATAGTATACAGCGCATAGAGCTTGCTGTCGAGCGGGGATATACGCTACAAGGGGAGTGCGGAGGCGAAGCGGTTAGTGCGACCGTTTCAGTAGCGGAAAGTCAGGGTTCGAGCTTCGGTTCGGACACGGATTTTTTTCGCCCCCTCCTGTCCTCCCAGCAGTAATAGGTACCTGACTTCGAGTTGGGGAAGTAAAGGCGGCGTGGAAAGGAACTAGCCTCCCTACCGCAATATGCTGAAGGCCCACGAAGTTTTCTCACTAACAAGGCAATCCCCAATGTCCGGATCGAATGTGGGAACAACTTTACTTTTTTTTAAATTGTAATTAAATAATAGTGTCGGTTTCTTGGTTTCCATTATTTCAACGAGCGCTTGGTTTCACCACGGTGCCACACAAATATCCCAACATTTTTCCTGTGTTTCTTCTGTCGCCGTGTGATTGTGAAATCCTGCACAACCTTTTCAGGCGTTGTTGCAAAATCTCTTTTGTACACAAATTGACGACGAGAGGACCGGGGGGGGGGGAAGGGTTTCAGAGCAAGACAGGAACTTGATTAGACTAATGCTGCTGCTGCTGCTGCTCTCGCTCTCTGGGGTATTTTTCTCTCTCCCTCTTTCTTTCTCTCTTCCTTCTCTCTTTCTCTTCTTTCTCTCTCTCTCTCTCTCTCTCTCTCTCTCTCTCTCTCTCTCTCGTCTCTCTCCTCTCTCTCTCTGTCTCTGTCTCTCTCTCTCTCCCCTCTCTCTTTCTCTCTCATTCTCTTACTCTTACTTCCTCTCGTTGTTTTTTCTATATACATGTATCTCTGTCTGTGTGTGCTTGTGTGTGTACGTGCGCGTCAGTCTGTCTATTTACCCCTCCTTCTTCGTTTCTCTTCCTCTGTTTTTCCGTTCTGTTCTTGACGCGGTTCCGGTTGTCATTGAGCGGACTCAACGACTCATAAGGGGGCTCTCGTGGCCTAGAGGTTAAGGTGTTGGCCTCTCATTCAGAAGGTCCCGGGTTCGAGTCCGGGTAGCGACCAA